GCATGGTTCCGTGTAGGGGAGGCCGGGGAGGTCGAAGACGAGGGAGAGGCCTGGGGCGGAGACGTTTACTTGGGAGATTGGACGGATGCCGCGGGCGCCTAGGAAGGTTTCCGCGCTCAGGTTGGAGCCGTAGGCTAGGTAGAGGACTGATGTCTGTTCTGCGGCGACGGCGACGGCGGCGGGGGTGGAAGGTGCATCGTTGCTGGAGGCGTCTGGGGGAGCTGCCGCTGCTGCTGCGAGGCGGGAGGGGGATGTGCGCGGGATGCTCTTGACGGAAGGGTAAGATTTCTCGGACGGGGCGGAGGAGGTTGAGAGGGTGGCGAGGTCTTTTAGGCGGCGGAGGAGGCAGATTGGTTCTTGGGGGAGTGAGGTTGTCATTGTTCCCCGTGCTTTAACGTCGAATTGCGACGGACGAGGTTGAAGGTATTGTGGGAGGCGGAGCCAGGTCGGTCGGTTTTATTTTCCGTGTTGAGAGGCACCGGCGTTCTTGTGGGGGAATGAGCTCGAGCTCAAGCTCAAGCTATAGATGAGAGGTAAGGTAGCGAGACCGAAAAAGCTGGGATGATGCCAGAAAAGTCCAAGGAGTGATGAAGATGGGATGTTCAAGCGGGAAGGGAAATGCTGAAACTGACGAGTTGCGCCAGGGTACTAGCTGGTTGTGGGTGGGCGCGGGAGACTTTTTGTGTCGCCCCGGGTGTCTCTGACGTTCGGACTTTGGGGGTTTGGATGACGACGCTCTGAGGGAGGTTCCCGGCCTACTAATAAGTGCCTTTATCTTTACGGAGTAGGTACGGATACCTTAGTGTCAAGTAGTATTCGCTGCGGGCGCGCCGGGGGAGCGGCGGACGGAGAATGCGCGCGCGTCGGAGTTGGAGGGGTTTGGCTTATGTAAACCCCGGGCGGTGGGATGCGGGATTGGCGGAGGTGAGCTGCGGAATCATTTTCAGACAATAACTCGCACCTGTCAACGTCGTGAGCTGATGGGATTTGAAGCTGGTCTAACGAGATGGCATAGGGTATTTTGAAGATACTGTGCAAATGCTCCAATCCCTTACCTGAGATTGGAAATGCCATTACCCTTGAATCTACACTACTCTGCGGAGAACGGACCACAATGCCTGTGCTGCATCATCTGATCCTTTCTTCTTACTGTACAAGTCAACGAGATCCCAGAGCTCGAAGAAATAAATGTATAATTTTAACTATCTGGCTATGCTCTCCATGTACCTCATTCGGGTCGCACTAAGCATACGTAATTGACCGATGGTGAGTAAGTTGCGTTCTCGCTGACTTGAGCCTCAGCAACTCTTGGATCATCATGTTCGCGAACCTCAACTGCAAAAGTGAAAATCCAAGAGACCAGGAAAACATCGCAAACCTCTAGAAAGCTACCATAAATGGGCTTCACCCATGTTTGGATATTGTCTCCACTACACTGGAAGATATATCCCATACGTGATGTGGGCAGCTTGTGGGACGTCTATAAACAACCAATTGAAACAAGTTGGTGACATATCTCTTGTCTTCCAGGCTTGGATACAACTCGAGGACATCACTTCCAGTGGGCGACCCACAACGTTGCCTGCAAAAACGATATCCTGGTCTTGGTATCACTGTTTGATTCTTTTTTTATTTCTTTATTGTTTGATATGTAGCTACCCGCTGATCGCGAATCTAAACCACTATTTTTGATCCTACTCGATGCTCACAGGGAATCGCTATCATATCTTGGTCATTGCTATTTAGAACCGTCGCTCGGGGTCAAGAAGGTTTCGAAAGTCGGTAACGAGCATCATATCGTTGCCTTCGTCATCATCGCCCTCGACTTTGATCTGGTCCATAGCATTCTCATCTCCGTCCTCTGTCGCGAGTGCAGCCTTAGCCACAGCCGGGACCCCATTACCATTGACGTTACTGTGATCGCCATGGCCACTGACAAGTTCGTCCTCGCCCTCAACCGCCCGCGACACGGACGAGTACTTCTTCGGCACGAGGTACTTGTCCATGGCGCCAGCCTGCACGTTCCTCTTTGGCGTGGTGCCCTTTTCAAAGTAGAACCTCTGAATCACGTGCTGCGGGATGTTGGACTCTGGCTCCCAGGTCGGGTTCATGGAGGAGGGCCAGTTGCCCTTCCACCGGACCTGGAAGAAGCGGCCTAGTTTCTTGCCGCTGCGGCGGGAGACGCGGTCTTCGAAGCCTTCGATGCGGAGCACTTCGTAGACTTGTTCGTCTTCGTCTTCTTCTTTGTCATCATCTTGTGTTGCTGTTGATGCTACTGCAGTTCCGGTTTTCCGCGCGGTGTGAAGTTTGGTTGTGGTGGGTTTGGAGTTTGTGGCTGCGGTTTTGCTGCCTGTTGTTGTTGCGGGAGGTGCTGAGGCGGTTTGTGGTAGGGCTGCTTGTTGTGGTTCTCGTAGGGTTGGTGCGATGTGTGGTTTTGGGCCCGGTATCTTGGGTAGTGGTATAGGCGTCGTAGAGATGGGTTGTTCTATTGACTGAACTGGCTGCGAGGGCGTCAGTTGGGAGTAGGAGGACGAGGACTTTGAGGCCGCGAGGGAGATCGTCCAGGGGGTCGTGTTTGATATCAAAGGCGTGGAGCCGGGCTTGGGTATTGGTGTGTGATTCCAGCCTGTATTTGTGCCTGTCCCGTTCTGTGTCGGGTTCAGCGCGGGGGGCGCCGTGGCTGGCGGGGGAAGCATACTGCTCGCTTTTGGTATAGGTGTTTGCACCTTTGGCGAGGACGATTGTTGAGGCGTGGAAGGGGGATCTCGTATTGAGAGGAGGGACCGCTTCGGCGGTTGCTGCGTCTTTGCTACCCGCGGGGCCGTGGGCGTGGATGTGTGGTTCGCAGAGGCCGGGGGTATCGGCGGGAAGATGGGCGTCTCCCGAGGCCGGCCACTACTACCCTGGAGACCCGGCGCTGGCGGTTGTGGTAGCGGCGGCAGGGCCGGTGAGCTGGTGGCGCCTCTGGACGAGTCGAAAGGCGTGCTCCGGCTGCTGGTGTCCGTCTCGATTCCCGGCATGAACCGCGAGAAGGCCGGTCTCGGTGACCGGGTCCTCTGTTTCTTGCTCGGGGGTTCTAGGCCCGCGGGTAGACTGCTCTGTTCGCCAGAGTCGTATGAGTCCTCCGTCAGAATCAAAGGCGTCGTTGTCCCGGTCCCATTGAGCTGCCTGAAGATGGCCTCGTCGTCGGCCTCGTCATCGGCCACTTCTTCCATCTCGACGTCCGCGTCGCCTTCCGTGTCGAGCTCCCTGAAGTCGTCCACCAAGGCGCTCTTGGACGGCGTAGAAAGCGAAGGCGCATTCTTCCTCGGCCTGCCCCGTTTCTTCTTCACTCCGTCCGCGGCCGTGGCGGGTGGTGGTGTCCTCAACTCCGCCGCCACATGCTTCTTCTTCCGGCCCCTCTTCGCCCCCTTTCCACCCTTCTCGCCTGGTATCGCGACGCCCCTCTCCCTCGCCACAGCCTCCTCAACAGCGCGCACATTCTCCGCCTCCTCCAGCCGGCGCTCCTCCTCATCCCGCTCCTCAGCTCTTGCAGCGCACCACTCCTCGTATGCCATGGGCGAGACGTAGTCGCATATCTGCTCGGCATCGATCACGACCCGCGCGGCCGGCAGATCGGTCCATCCCACCACGTACTGAAGACGCTTCTTACCGTCGTTAGAGAGCGCGGGCGGGACGAAAAACTCGTCGCGAATGTAGGCCGTCGAGTCGCGGGGCGGAGCGAGGGTTATCGGTCGCAGAGGGGGTCCGGAGCCGCGTTTATAGCGGCGGTAGGTCGGGAGGTCTTCGAGGACCACGGCGAGTCTGCGCGGCTCGGGTTCGGGGTTCTTTCGGGGCGGTTGGGGTTGCCGGGTCGGTAGTGAGGATGCGGAAGATGTGGTGGTAGTGTTGGTCGTGGCGGCGCCGTTGCTGGTGTCGGCCGGGGTGGGGGGTTGACCACCGAACCAGACGAGTTTCTTTGAAGGTCGCGACATGGTTTTCTTGCTCCTTTCGGAGAAGTCCACCATGCCACGCCTGGCGCCTTTTTTGTGATTCCGTTGGACGAAACGGTGCAGCGGCAGGTCGGAGAAGGCTTCGGTAGGATCGTCCGTCGTCTAAAGCAGGTATCTGTGGTTTGGGAATCGGCGTTCGTGTTCGTCTCGTGTCGTGTCGCGGTTTCCGCCAGTAAAGACAACGCTTTTGTTCTCGACAACGCCGCTGGCTAGAGGCGTCAGAAAAATACGACAGCAATTGAAGAATTTCATTCATATCACGAAATTTCGTACCTGATTTTTGCGCGTGGTTTGCCGATACCTGCGCTGTGTTTCGTGGCAGTGACGCCGGTTGGGTGGGAGAGGTAGGAAACTTAGAAGCCTTAGTACTTTAATTAGCTTATTCTCCACCAGCATGACCACTACAAATCCCAATACTCATTAGAATTAAAATAGTTAGCATTAGTACATTAGAAGATATTTTATTTCATTTTAAACTTTTTTAATCATCAAAAATCAATTATTATTTAATATCATTTTTTTTTAGTTTATTTCTTAAAATCAAAGTATAAACAAATAAAAAAAAACCCTGCTTCTCAAATAGCTTGCTCAATTCTGTTAAACTAATATTCATCTTTAATATAACAAATCCTACTACCTTATACAACACCTTTAGGTAGTAATTAGCTGAGCGTGATGCTGTATTACCTAAGGCACCAAGTACCCTTGGAATTCAGGATCATGCGATCCGGGGAAGCAGGTGCTGCAAAAGGGTCCGTGCAGAAGCTGCGGCTGGGCGTCTACCGGCGCGCTGTGCAGGGCGTCAAATCTTTGGTGGGCCGAGCTTGACCTCATCGCGAGGAGCACAAAGCTCCATCCACCACATCCCAGCTTCGGTTTCCGTTTCTTTCTTCGCAAACCAAAGCCAAACCACCAAAAGAAAATCTCCCCTCCACCCGCGCGCACCGCAACGTCGATGCCCACGACAACCCGAACCTAATCAACACTCTTCGCCAAGGCCTCGCAAATATGCTGACGCCCACGAGCACCTTCGCCATCCGCCTCGCCGGCCAGGGCGCCGCCCGCGCATCGATTGCCTCTTCCATCGCCCGCACCACCGCATGCCCGTACTCGACCGCCTCCATGAAGCAGCACCAAGCCTCTGCCCGCCCAATTGGTCTCGCCTCGACAGCCGGCCCCATCGCCCGAACCAGCGCCGCCTTTGCCGCATCCCCCTCGTCCTCCATCGTCGCCCGCGTCGTCCGCCAACCCTGCTCCCAACGCTGCAATACTACCGCTACCGCCTCCGCTGCGGCGCAACAAAAGTCCGCCCCTTCGCCGGGGGACAGGTTGGACTGGGAGACCTTCTTCCAGCTGCGCAAGTCCCGTAGAAGGTGGCAGCTTGGCTTCAGCGTCATTTCTGGATTGGGATCCTTTGTTGGCGGTGCTGGCATCTTGGCTACTGGCATTGCGGACCCGTTGGTGACACAGGTTCCGCTGGATCCTTTCATTACGATGGGCCTTATGACGATGGGCTTCGGTGCTCTTGGATGGCTTATTGGACCTAGCGTTGGTTCTCTGGTGTTCTACACGCTGAACAAGAGGTGGAAGACTCAGATGACGGTGGTAAGTTGCCCTCTTCTACGTTCCGGAGGACAAGGACTTTTTCTAATCTGGATTACTGCTGCAGAAGGAGAAGGAATTCTTCGCCCGCATCAAGAAGAACCGTGTTGACCCCTCTGTCTCCTCTGTTGGTAACCCTGGTAAGTACACCCCCCATCAATATGCCACGCTCTCACGTGCTGATCTCTACTAGTCCCCGATTTCTACGGCGAGAAAATCTCAAGCGTCAAGGGGTACCGTCAATGGCTCAAGGACCAGCGAGCCTTCAACAAGAAGCGTGTCAGCTTCGTGTAGAGTACCACCACAACGACCACCCACCACGGCTCTCTGCCAAGAACAGTTTCTTTAGGATTAATCAGGATCATGGCTAGCGGGCGAAGGCAGCCCTCCTCTCTTTGTAGCAATAGGGGTATCGCGTAGGAAAAGTATGTATCATGACGACCCAGCCCCCCTCGTCAGAACAAATTCAACTTTTTTATATCCAAATCTTTTCTCTCCAGTGGCCCCGTTTCGCTCCATCTCAGGTAAAAGGCAACGTGGGGTCCACGTCTCTCTTCCACGCCCGCATGCCGCCGTCAATGTCTCCAATGAATCTTTTGCCATTGTTGTCCAGCGCTAGATCTTTCAAACGCTTTGCCGCAAGCTGTGAGTCGTTGCCGACCCTGCAAACAAGGTAAATGGGCGAATCCTCTGGGAAATCCGACGGCAGCCACTCAGGTTGAGGCTGAACTCCCTCGCTGGACGGCTGCGTCTCCTTCATGAACTTTGCAATCGGTACGCTTACAGCGCCATCGATGCTACAAATGTCAAAGTTTTCGCGCTCCCGAACGTCCAGCAAAAGATGCCGGCCACCTTCCTCCTTGGACACCCGCTCGTATTCGGTCGCAGAGATACGCTCCTCGGGAGCGAGTATGCTGACCGGCGCAGTCACACCGCAAAACGACACATAGTCCAGCGATCCCGATCGCAGAGTCTCGAGAGAAAGCGTCGACGCCGCAGAGCAAGCGAAGCAGTCCTTTCTCCGGCCCCGCATACGAACAGACCTAAACTGTCCCGACGTCGCCGCGCCCGAGAAGATGAGAAGCGAAGGCGCCGCCGCAGTCGCGCTCTTGTCCGTCACATCGGGATCGACCGCGCCCAAGGCAACGAGCTTGATCGCCTCGAGAGCCTGCAGGACGCCCATGACGCCAACCACGGGCCCGAGGATGCCGCCTTCGCCGCAGCTGACGACGCTGTCGGGTGGCGGCGGCTTGGGGAACACGCAGCGGTAGCATGGTCCTGCGCCTTCCAGAGTTCCCTGCGGCGCAGCGGGGGAGTTGAGGATGATGAGCTGGCCGTCTGTGCGAAAGGCCGAGGCGGAGACGAGGGGTTTCTGGAGGAGGACGCAGATGTCGGAGATGAGGTAGCGGGAGGTTGGGTGGTCTGTGCAGTCGAGGACGAGGTCGTATTGGGAGACGATTTCTTCGGCGTTGGTTGGGGTTAGGTGTGTTTTGTGTGGATGGTATGTTACTAGGGGGTTGAGGCTGGGAGGGGTGGGTTAGTGTGAGCTTTCGTGGAGATGGGGTCAGAGGAAGGAGAGAGGTTTCCGTACCCCTTCAGATATGTGATTGCGCTTTCGACCTTTGAGATGCCGACCCTATCGGTCGAGTGTGCGACTTGGCGGTGGAGGTTGGAGACTTCGACGACGTCGCCGTCGACGAGGCCGATGGTGCCGGCCCCTGCTCCGGCGATGTAGGCCGCTGCGGGGCATCCCAGACCCCCGGCACCGATGATGAGGATCTTGGACTTTTTCAGTCTTATTTGTCCTAGGAGTCTCGTTTCAGTGGAGTTATTTCACAAATGGTGTGCCATTAATAAAGCTCACCTTTGACACCTACTTGGGGTATGATGAGCTGTCGTCCATATCTCTCATAATCCTCGGGTTGCAGGGGCCATTTCCAGGGTTGAGATGACGATGATGCTGAAGCTTCGTCCTGTGCCTCTTTCTCTGCGCTGGCCAGCTGTTCCTTGAGGTTCCTAAGGTCGAGTTCAGCCTCTGCGACTTTGCGTCGCAGCTCTTCGACTTTGCCCATAATTGCGTCGGTCTGCGCGGTCTGCGGTGTAAGTGAGAATCGATGACTCCCCAAGCGCGGAATTTGTGAGCGGCGGGGCGGACCTGTATAAAATGTCGGAGGTTCCGCCCCCGATCTCCGACCCCGCGATTCTAGAAGACCCACATCTCTATCTTTTCGGCCCCACCACGAATTTTTGAAGCTTTGGGTCAAATCAAGTACGTCCTCAAACTTCAGTACTTTGCATCCCACTTTGACCCAGATCCGACTTTGAACTCGAGCCGTCTCAACCATACAGCTCTCCAGAACCTTCAGTACACATATCACTCAAGATGGTAATGCGATCTGATTCCTCCTCGTCGCCGCTCCCCAAACTAACGCCTCCAAGGCGCCCACAGCACCAACAAAAGCCCTCTCAGCCCGCGAAAAGCGCATGGCCCGCATCCGCGGCGACATCCACCCCCTCGCGCCGCACAAGACCCTCCGCCCCGAAGCCCAAGTCGACGACGGCTTCCTCACCAACAAAAAAGACAAGCGAACGATGAAACACAGCGCCTTCCTCAGCAAAGTCGCCAAGACGGCCCCGGGCAGCGGCAAGACCCTGAAACGCCGGAGACCGAACAAGAAGCTCGTCGCGACCATGGAGTCGCTCGCCGACGCGCTGCCGGAGCTGGAGGAGGGCGCGCAGACGCTGGATCAGCTGCGCGAGGGCAAGGTCAGGCATAAGAGTCTCAAGAGCAGGCCGGGCGCGCTGAAGAGGAAGGAGAAGGTTGTTAAGGCTGAGGTGGCGAGGTTTGGGGCTAGTATGGCAGCATTGGCTTCCGTGCCAGCTGCTGTGAATGCCGGCGGTGCTGGTGCTGGTGCGATGGCGGTTGAGGAGGCGGGATCGCACGAGACGACGACGAGTGCGACTTCGAGCCGGTGGGCTGCGCTGCGGAAGCACATTTCGAGCACGATGGAGCAGAACCCTGCCTTCAGCACATAAGGCTTGATGGTGGTATATTTACTACTATCACTGGCAGAGAGGGATCTTTGACGGACTTGATCACGACAGCGGCTGAGAGCATGGCACACCGGAGCATGATTTTTGCGTCTGCGAAAGGGGCCTGAGACTTTCTCATGGTTCCGCAGCACACTTGGGATATATCCATGAGCAGACGGTCCATCTTTCAGAGGATTCCTGATGCTAGAGAATCGTTGGCTCCGAGCGAGACATGACGAGGGGAGCTTTCCTTGAGACGTAAGGGAACCCCTAGAGGGTCCCATTTATTGGACGAAAAGTCGAGTGCGGTAATCCTGGATTGGGGATACAACTGGAAGCTGGCAAACAGTCTCGATGGCGCTCACTATTTTATTGCCTGGCGACCGCGATCGTGTCTACGACGTTTATAGAGTTGCCAAGGCCGGGAAACCTCTACAAGACGCGAACCGTGTCAAGTATACGTTGTGGTGGAGAGTGTACACGGAACCAATGTCGTAGTTGAGCTGCGGTTGGTCCACCACTACTTTCCGATGTTCAGGCTACAGACTGGGTACAGACTGAGAGCGTCTTGGAGGCACTGGAACGGCATCAAATAGGATGGGCAGTACGAGGAACCGAGGAGGTCCAATTAAGTAGCCAGGGAGGATAGACCCCTAATGCACCCTGTTGATGGAATTTGTGTCTACATCAAAAGAGATATCAAACATAAATTCGACGTGCTTGGGTTTGCCTGATGAATATCTTGCCTTGAAGATTTCGTTTGTCACCATGTGCATTGTTTACTCTGGCAGGGATATCAGCCTAGCGTTTCAAGGATAGCAAATCAGAAAATATCCCAATGACGATCTTGTGAGCCGACGTCATTTTGCCCAACGTCAAGGGTGCGAACGCGTCGCAATAAGATATTCTGTGTGGCCAAGATGAAAGAAAAGTAAACAAACAGATCGTCAGACTAAGGTGCGCAGGGTATCTCCAACGGTCTGGAGTGGTCTATAGGGGCGTTTTGTGGACTTCTTGGCAGGTTTGACGAAGGGGTGATGTCAGTTCAAGTCCAGGCATGGCGGTTCTAGACAACTTCATCGCCAATCAGTTAGTCTCTGGCGACATGGTTTGCTCAATCTGCACAAGATTCTAGCAATTTGGGTAGCGCATTTGTGAAGTTCTTCATGGTGTTAATTTGGGGTAGAGCGTGCAGGTGTGGTCTTCCCTCGTCATATTATGTGGTCGGCAACAGCGATCTACAGGAGGGGAAGGCTCGTTTGCTTAGAATGAACGTCACAAGGAAGGAACTGTGCAGCTGAGCAGGCAACAGCTGCACCTATTTCTTATTGAGCAGCTCCTTCCCTACCTTACCTTACTTAAGTACAAAGGTACTCGTCCTTTGCAATTGATATAAAGATCCACGAAGCTCTCCTCTTAGCCTCGAATCGTCATTTCCACATCACACCCACGAACAATCACTTCCCATCTCAAGTCGAAACCACTACCACTTACACGAATTCCATACCTCAAATCAGCATCATGGCCGACACCAACCCCGGAAACTTTGCCAACCGGTATGTTTCTCAGTACCCTCCCCCAGCGTCTACATATCTCTTGACTCTTGAGTAAGTGCTAACGGAATAAAGTCCCACTGAGGAGGTCCGCGAGATCGCAGCCAAAGGCGGCCATGCCAGCCACGGCGGTGGCATCCCACAGGAGGTACCCAGCGGCAACACAAACCCTGGTAACTTTGCGAACCGGTACGTTATTTCTGCCGTGAGATATGTTGTCTTTTACTACCATGTATCTGACAATCTTCAACAGCCCCACGGAGGAGGTTCGCGAGATTGCGGCCAAGGGAGGTCACGCCAGCCACGGCGGCGGAATCGAGGCCGAGACCCACTCGGCCACCGGCAACACCAACCCCGGCAACTTCGCCAACCGGTAAGCTGGCTTCGTATAATCCTCCGGCATCCGGCTCCTTCACAAATCAAGCTTAACTCAAAATTATGCCTCGCATGCGCTTGTATTGTATGGAAAGACTACTAACGCGACCGCAGACCCAAGGAGGAGGTTCAAGAGATCGCAGCCATGGGTGGGCACGCAAGCCACACGGGCGGTTTCGCCAGCATGGACGCCGACAAGCTGCGCGAGGTTGCTTCCGAGGGCGGCAAGGCGTCGTCCGGCTCGTTTGAGCCCGGCTCAGAGAGAGCGCGCGAGGCGGGACGCAAGGGAGGTCTTGCGAGTGGATCGGACTGAGATGTTTGTTATCGCGAGGTAGCAGCACTCAGAGCTCTATTCTCATATTTATTTGAGCGCAACGACACAGGACAACAGGACGAAGCAACGATTGTACGATATCCGGAACACAAAAGGATGGAACATGAGACATGATTGATGGGCGAGAAAGATAGGATTGCCCCCACGACAGGGGCTATCCTGAGGAAATACCACAATTGAGATTCCAGGATTCTAGATGCCTGACCAACGACATTGCTGACTTCCTATTGCATTGCCCTGTCAGGCGTTTCGTCCCACTTCCGGGCCGTGAGCGGATGGCTCCGAGGTTTTGCGTGCTTTCGGCGCCTCCCTTTCCTCTCTCACTCTCTCGGACCCCCACCATATCAATCCCGGACGGTCGAAGAAGGTGGCAGGGTGGTGCAAAAACGCACGATTTTCAAAGTCAATTGTTCAAGACCCCCTTCGGCATTTTCCAACCAGATTGATCCTACCTATCTTGCTCCAGGATAAGTGTGCTACGAGAGAGAGTGCAGCAGCTGAGATGCATTGAATCCATGAGTCCTCCCTTTCCCACACCGAATCGACCCTTTGGCTAGGTCATTCTCCACCGGCACCCCATGTCCGTTCACCAGCCCTGCGGGTGGGTTGCTTGGGCTGGTTGATCAACTTGGCGCTCTGGGTCGGGGCCCTTGGGAGGAGCAAGCCACGTTCGGCAGACGCCGATGCAAGTGACGAGCGTTTTCCTTTCCTCCCCCCGCCTGCGCTTTTCCACCTCTTGATGGATCGACGTACCCAAGTACTGCGGATTGAGGGTCCACTACACCAGTGATGGACTTGGCTTCGTCACTGAAGCCGCGAGCGTTTTCGTGCGACTCGACCTGTTGGCGGAAGTACGTTCTCTACGGTAAAGATTTCGGGCTAGGCAAAAAAGTAGCGAGCGGCTTGTTCTAGTCCCAGGCGGGAATGGCTAGACCCGGCCCATGACATTGGGTGCCTTTTTCCTTTCCGTGACTTTCGTCCCAAAAGGGTTTGCGGCGGGAAGTGCGCCAGGTGGGTGGTATCGCAGATTCAGCAGCATCATGATGCCGCAGCACGGTGACGTAGACGAGGTGAAACTTGGCTGCCCTTTTTCTTCTCCGTCGCTCACCCCCAGCGTCTTGCTTTGAATTGAGACCACGAGAAGATGGAGAGATGATCAAATCAGAGACTCATCACCAAGCGATTATCTCACCTCCGGTTCAGTTCACCTTGTTCAATGAAGGATGCCTACTAGTGAGGAGGAGGGGGAAGGGGGAGGGTCTGTAAGTGAGACTTGACTGTGAGAGAGAAAAGGTTTTTCTCAGTTAGAGGCTTAGCCATGGCTCCCACCCCCTCTTCCTTCTCCAATGGTGACTCCTCCCTTCACCGTCTCAATTCATTCGTCACAAGCAGGCAGGCAGAGGGGACGTTTCTTTGGTGGGAATCGAAAACAGAATCGGGATGCAGCGGCACTACGTAGAGTTTCTCCATACCTACTCCAGGTCTCGGGGCCCTTTCTTTTTCCTCCTCGCGTACCTTACCTTTACCTTGATTACCTACTGTGGCATCCTGCCCATCCCTGTCTTTAAGGTAGGTACTGAGGTAAGGTAGGGCAAGGTAGGTCTTGAAGATGATCGGCCATCGAGACTAGCACGTTTCGTTTTTTGTTCCCTTGGGACGCATGTTAAAGTCGTGTGTTCCCCCCTCGCCCACGCTGCCACGCAAGTGTTATGGTCTTTTTGAAGCAAACACTTTTTCGACTCCTTGCTATACCCCTTCCCACCGACTGTACTGTGCAGCTTTTACATCCTCACCAAAAACACCTTTTGCGAGGATCTCCCGATACCCCCAGTCCCTGGTACTCCCTCGGACTCGGCCGGTGCTTCACCTTTATACGATGGCCGCGGCAGTTGATGTTCAAACAGCAGCAGGTGTACCGCATACGGGTATCAGCCGGTTAAGCAATTCAAGGTACGATTAGGTCTTTCTTCCTCTCACTTCCAGTTTCTCAGTCCTATATCCTCTGCCTGCTTATTCAAACGAGAACATGGCGGGAACATCATCATCGTCATCCCTTGGGTTCTGGAGGGTGCGCCGGAGGCACCATGGGAGAGTGGAGACGCTCTTCCGAATCAGGTTAAGCTCGGGATAGTGGTCCTAGCTCCTCGGCTCCCCCACAAGTGTGGCTTGTCGGCACCTCGTCACCTCGTCACCTCGCATTTTTCGTCTCTTTTTCCTCCCATCATGGTGCTGCGCCACTCCTGGGCCACGTCTCCCCCCGTCGTCACTCCTCGTTCAAGCCTCACCTCTTGCCTCTCCACCCTCTGATTCTCAGAGAGTCAGCACCTCTTCGCCTCTCTCATCCGAGCTGCACTGCACACACTGCCCGCTGCATGCACGGAAGCAGCCCAACTCCAGTGCACCCAAGGTACCCAGCCAGCCCAGTCAGCCCCGTTCATCGTCTTTTCTCCCCGTTCGCTTCCCCACCGTCGTCCATTACGCTCCGCTCCGTCTGCAACCTGTGACCAGGAGGATCCTGAAGTTTCCCACCGCCCACGCAGAAACAACAGAGACCCTCGTCCCTTCCCCCCCCGCTCATCAATCCCGAGCGAGAAAAAAAAAGAGCGGATGCGAAAAAGGGCCCTGAATTATTTTTTTGATTTCATTTCTTAGCCTTGGCTAATTAACCCCCCCCTCGTCCTCCGTTCTCTCTTCCCACTCTACTCCCGATTGATCCTATTCTCGGAACCCTTCTCTCTCCGTCCTGGTTCACAATCTTCTTTCTATCCGTACTCTATACCGGTTCCTCAAGTTCCCTACCACACACCCGTCAACCTACGTACCTACGCAGTACTTCACCTACCTTACCCCAAAGTCTTTCCTGGAAAAGATCGTCGCTCTTCTCGAACCGAACCAAAGCATCCCCCCTCTGACGCAACTCCCCGCGAAAAACAGCCGCTTCTTACCCTTCCGCTCCTCTCGCAACCGACAACCATCGCCGCCCCGAGCGATCAACTCCTCCCGCTCCGGCTCGACCTCGACGACGTCTTCGATATCCTCTACCGCATCGGCTTCAGAAGCATCACCACCAGCATCCCTCCAGCTTTCCCCCTCGACCTCCCCGACGAGTAGTACAAAGTCCGGCCACAGGTCCGAGTCGCGCCTGAGCATGCCTTTCAGGAAGATGGCCCGTCACTTTGGTGACACTGTAAGATCTTTCTTCTTGCAACCTCCTGCTCCTTCCCGTCTTTGTCCTTGGACCTGGCCAAGCTTGCTCTCACCATGCCGTCGCCGCCGCAGCAGCACTGGGAAGTGCGACCTGATGAGGTCACAGTCTTTCATCATCTCCTGCACTCCAGGTCGGACGACAGCCGCAGACGGGCAACAGACGGGCAAGCACATGCCCATCTCGTCTCGTCGCTGCTGGTCCCAAGTGTCGTCGGTGGTGAGGCTGGCAACGGCGGGGTAGTATGAGAGGGGCGGCCGTCCTGTTTCAGCGCAAGCGCCAGTGAACTGACCCGAATCGCGTCCTAGCTCTCCCCGCAGCAACCTTACTTGTCGTGTAAGTCGCACTCCTCCTTGCTCCCAATGAGACGCCGCACCTCCCGCGGTGTTATCCTACCATCCCGTGATGATCATGGCCCCGGCTGACAGCTTCTTTTGGACGATGCAGATCACGATATTCTCCGTATGTTAAACCCTCTGATGGATGACGAGGTGCCGGGACCCTACCGAGTCCGCAGGTTCCGGCTACTTGAACCTCCGATTTAGCACACGGGAACCATTTGGGCTTACTCGTGTTGATTGCAGTCACCTACGAAGACATCAAGTCGCTCAAGAACGACTGGTTGACAGACAACGTACGGCACACCTCCTACCCTGCGCTTGCTCCTACCTGGCTAACAATTTCACAGAACATTGCTTTCTGGGAAGAGTGAGTCCCAACCACTTACATTTTGACGATAATCACCTATTCTGAACCCTCCTGACAACTGCCAACTGCAGATGGCTGGAACGCGAAGTCCTCCCCAAGTACCCTCAAGCCCGCATCATCCTGCTTCGGCCCTCAATGACCTTCCTCCTCATGAAGGAGCCCGACATGCGCCAGATCCGCTCCGCCCTCCCCGACTTCTCCAAAGTAACACACATCTTCCTCCCCATCAATGACGCCCGCAACGTCGCCCAGGCCGAGGGCGGCTCCCACTGGTCCCTGCTGCTCGTCAGCGCCATCGACGGCGTCGCCTTCCACTACGACTCCCTCGGCGGCGCAAACTACGCAGAAGGCCGCCTCGCCACCCACAAGATGTCCGAGATCCTCGGCCGCCCACTCCGCTATCTCAACCTCGACGACTCTCCCCAGCAGGAGAACGGCAGCGACTGCGGCGTGTTTGTGTGTATCCTAATGCGCCACCTGCTCATCAAGCGCCTCCTCAGCGCCAACGCTCGCGAAAAGGTCAGCATGAGCATGGCCAATAAGCTGATTGACAGCCACGGCGGACGTAAAGAGATGCTCAAAATTATCGAGAGCTTGCGCAAGGAGGGCGAGCGGAGGAGATCGTAAGCGCTAATCCCTCAAATTACCCCCTCCACTGAATTTGGTCTTTGTCTTTTTTGGTCTCTGCGGCATGTGGATGATGGCAGTACTATCATCCTCCTTACTGTACCTGTACTCTCCAATCTTTGAAGCGTCACAACCGTAAACTTGTCTTGAGGGTTCCCTGACACCCCTTCTTTCCAAAAGGAGAAGCGCATCACCGTACTCGTCAAAGACGCCGCCACGGATCGAGTAGTCAACCAAAGGCAGCCCTTCGTACCTTACCCCTACAAAACTCGAACGAAAGAACGACAACGAGACCGTGATTCAGCACAGTCACATCCTTGTCGACGACTTTATTTAAATGTTTCGATATACGATATCCACGAACGCATGCACTAGTGTATTTTATTCAACCACATGAGAAAGGGGGCAGAGGAATGTAAGCATTTGGTAGTGGAAGACG